CAGACTTCACCTCCAAAGGAGCGCAGCAAGCTGCTGAATGTCATGGCAGCCCTAGCCAGGACCTGCCTGTTGACACAGTCCAAGTAATGCTCTTTTTAAATTTGGCTATCGCTCTCAGCTCTATTGTTCCAGTCACCAAAGGAAAAGCTTGCTTTGACATTTCAAACAAAATGAATAGCGTTGCCATGTAGCATTGTTCTCCACAGCACCAAGGACGTTTCCATCAGGATTGCAGTCACTGCAACCTTTTTCTTTCCTGTGTGTGCTCCGCCTGCCCGCAGCTGGCTCACATTCCCTCCTGAATGTCAGGGCTTGGTTGGGGTGATGGGACTGCATGAGCCCCCTCTGGCGGATGGCTCCTGCACACTCCAGGCTCTCTCCGGAAAATGCAGTGCTTTATCTTCTTGAGTGGCAGCTCTTCTGTGTTGGGTGAAGTGAGGGATTGGGTTTTTATTGTTTGGTCCTTTGTTTTTATTCCTTTAAAAGCCAAAGGCAAATTAAATTTATAGAAAAGCTTCTAATGTACAATAAAATATGACACCAAGTACATTCAAAATAAATTAGTTCTAACAAGGAGTATTTGGGTGTCTAGAAATTCTGTAGTCAAGAACATTTGTATTAGTGTTTTCATGTGCAATTTTTTTTTTTTTAAGTTTCCTTTCTTACTACAACAAATGCCTTTAATTGACATAAATAGAATTATTTGCAATGATAGTTTGAAATTCAATTTGATTTATGATAGATTCATTTGGACTAGGGACTGGGGCAGGGGGATGCTGGGGATGCTGCTGTTCCAGGGGATCCTAGATCCTCTATAAAGGTGGTGAGAGGGAAAGCCCAGCTGAAGTGTCTTTATACCAATGAACACAGCCTAGGAAATAAGCAGGACGAGTTGGAAACCATGATGTGCTTGGAAAGTTATGACCTTGTTGCTATCACAGAAACATGGTGGAATGACTCCCATAACTGGAATACCACCATTGAGGAGTATCGCCTCTTTAGAAGGGAGAGATGAGGTAGGAAGGGTGGGGGAGTTGCCCTCTATGTCAAAGAGTGGATAGAACTGAGAAACAGTCAGCAATAGGTTGAAAGCCTGTGGATTAGAATTAGGGACTGGACTAACAAAGGCCAGCTGGTAATAGGCACGTACTACAGGCCACCTGATCAAGGGGAGACTGTTGATGAGGTTTTCTTGCTTCAGACATGGGAAGCATCGTGCTCACAGGCTCTTGTCCTGATCAGGGACTTCAGCCATCTGGATATCTGTTGGAAAGATCACACGGTGAGCTGCAGTAAGTCCAGGAGGCTCCTGGAATCCATTGATGATAACTTTCTGGTGCAAGTATTGGACAGACCAACCAGAGGTGAAGCGTTGCTGGACTTGCTGCTCACCAATGCGGAGGAGATCATTAAAGGCGTTAAGGTTGGTGGCAGCCTGGGCTGCAGTGACAATGCCCTGGTTGAGTTCGTGATCTCAAGGGATGTGGGCCTGGCAAAGAGTGGCATCAGGACCCTGAACTTCGGAAGAGCAAACTTTAAGCTGTTCAATGGACTGTTGGCCAAGATCCTTTGGGATGCTGTCTTTAAAAATAAAGATGTTAAGGAGAGCTGGCTTCTCTTCAAGGATGCCTTCTTGAGAGCACAAGAGCTCTCCATCCTTTTGAATAAGAAAGCGGGCAGAAGAGGTAGGAAACTGGCGTGGCTTGGCAAGAGCCTGCTGGACAAGCTGAGGGCAAAGAAAGGTGCGTACAAGCTCTGGAAACAAGGGCATGTCACCTGGGAAGAATACAGGGATGCTGTCCGAACTTGCAGGTGTGGGATCAGGAAAGCCAAGGCGTAGGCAGAACTGAATTTGGCGAGGGACATGAAAAATAATAGGAAGACATTCTACAGGTACATTGGCCAGAAGAGACAGGCCAAAGCGAGTGTACCTCCTTTGGTAAATGTAAAGGAGAACTTGCTTCAATGGACAAAGAGAAGGCTGAGGTACTGAATGAGTTCTTTGCCTTGGTCTTCACTGGCGGCCAGGATTCTAATATTTCTCACGTCCCTGAGCCTTGCATCCCTAAACCTCTAGGTGGGGACCAGGGCGGTAAATCCCCACCACTGTAAGGGCAGAGCAGGTCCGAGACCACCTCATGAGACTGAATGTATACAAGTCTATGGGGCCGGATGGCGTGCATCCCAGGGTTCTGAAGGAGCCGGCCAAGGTGGTTGCCGAGCCGCTCTCCATCATATTTGAAAAGTTGTGGCTGTCAGGTGAGGTCCCAGATGACTGGAGGAAGGGTCACATCACTCCCATTTACAAGAAAGGGAGCAAGGAGGACCTGGGAAACTACAGGCTGGTGAGTCTCACCTCTGTGCCTGGGAAGATCATGGAACAGATCATCCTGGATGACATGCTTGATCACATGAGGAATGAGCGTGTGATCCAAGACAGCCAGCATGGCTTCACCAGGGGAAGGACACACTTGACCAATCTGGTGGCCTTCTATGATGGAGTGACAGCATTGGTGGTCAAGGGAAAGGCGACCGATGTCATTTACCTGGACTTGAGCAAGGCCTTTGTCACGGTCCCCCACCACATCCTTATCTCCAAATTGGAGGGATGTGGATATGATAGGTGGGCCACTCAATGGATAAGAAATTGGTTGAAAGGACACAGACAGAGGGTGGTCATCAATGGCTCTGTCCAGGTGAAGGCCACTAATGAGCAGCGTCCTCCAGGGATCTGTGCTGGGACTGGTGCTCTTTAACATCTTTATCAATGACATCGATGATGGAATTGAGTGCACCCTCAGCAAGTTTGCTGATGACACCAAGCTGAGTGGTGCGGTTGACATGGTGGAAGGAAGGGATGCCATTCAGAGGGACCTCAACAGATTTGAATGGTGGGCTTGGGTGAACCTAATGAGATTCAGCACAGCAAAGTGCAAGGTTTTGCACTTGGGCTGGAGGAATCCCAGGCATCCATACAGCCTGGAAGGAGTGGTCCTTGAGAGCAACCCTGCAGAGAAGGACCTGGGGGTCCTGATGGATGAAAAACTTAACATGAACCAACTGTGCACTTGCAGCTCAGAAGGAAATGGTATCCTGGGCTCCATTAGCAGAGGGGTGGCCAGCAGGGACAGAGAGGTGATTGTCCCCCTCTACTCTGCTCTTGTAAGGCCCCATCTGGAGTACCTCCAGTACAAGAAAGACAGGGAGCAGTTGGAGAGGGTCCAGAGAAGAGCCATGAAGATGATCAGGGGGATGGAGCACCTGCCCTAGGAAGGCAGGTTGAGGAAGCTGCGCTTGTTCAGCCTGGGGAAAAAAAGACTGTGGGGTGACCTCATTGCAGTCTTTCAGCCCCTGAGGGGAGCCTACAAACAGGAGGGGAATCAACTCTTTGAAAGGGTAGGTAACTGCAGGGCAAGGGGAAATGGTTTTAAGTTGAGGGAGGGAAGATTTAGGTTGGTCAAGGGGAAGTTCTTTGCAGAGAGAGTGGTGAGGTGCTGGAACAGGCTGCCCAGAGAGGTTGTGGATGCCCCGTCCCTGGAGGTGTTCAAAGCCAGACTGGATGGAGCCCTGGGCAGCCTGGTCTGGTATTAAATGTGGAGGTTGGTGGCCCTGCATGTGGCAGGGAGGTTGGGGATTCATGATCCCTGAGGTCCCTTCCAACACTGGCAATTCTGTGATTCTGCGATTCATTTAAAAGTTCATATTGAGAAAGGCTTTTAAAATTGCAATAATTTGGAGTAGTGCCTCAGAGGTGAAATAAGGGAAGAGGAACTGAAACCTGCAGTCCCTCAGTTAATTCCTGCTCTGTCAGAAGCAGTTACTGGACAAAACTGAAACACCAAATAGAAAGATACACTGTCTGTTTTAAAAACTGCTGTGCCTGAATGTGGAAATGATGTTAAGTAAGAGAATTACACTAACTTCTTACACATGTCCAATCAAAATACTGATCACTTGTATAGAATGGATGTTACATGGAGTTAAATTTAAGAATGCACAGTTTTTAAAGCTGTTTGGAGTGTGCAGGCGTCATTGGCAAATAAACTTAAAAGCAACTGTGCTTAGGATGCCTAAGCTCTGCAATGTTACCAAATCCAGATGCAGAGAATACTTTTTAGCATCAGTACTGGAAAAACTTGTGCTTGCAATGCATGTTAGCTCACAGCAGATGGTAGTATCTCTCTCTCCCAGCCTCCCCCTCTTTCCCTTCCTTCCATCCTTGCTTACATCCTTCTGTCCTTCCTTCCTTCCTTCCTGTCTGTTAGTCAGTTTCATAGCACTTTTCTCAAACGTCACTTCCCAAATCATGCCAGACAGCTCTGACACCTCACTAGAACAGACTTCATGTTTACAATCTGGTGTCTCCTGCCTGACCTGTATCCATTCAATCCTATAAGTCAAAGAAGGCAGTTGAGGGCCCTCATTTTCCTCTTTAGCATCTCTTTCTCTCCTGTCCTGAAGGTGCTTCTTGAGCCATTTTCTCTGCTTAACTTCTTTGTTTAACCTCTCCTGATATCACTTCACTACTTTTACTACTGAGATTTGAATGACTCGTCTTGTAAGATGATGTTTGAGACAAGTATCATTGAGATAGGCCGTCAGCCAGTCAAGTACATATCTGGACAGCCTATGTCCATAATCATGGTTATACCTGGCAGACTGAGAGGCAGCGCTGGCAGTCTGGATTAGCTACATTGTTTATTTCAGCATTCAAAGTAAGAGAGTTACTGTAATCTACACCTTTGTTATTGACATTTGGTAACTGACCATAAATAATTTCTTCTGCAGCTTTTTTTTTTTTTCTCCCTTGGAATACCTGGTGTTTTTAATAGAAATGCATTTATGTATACATGCATAGACACAGGCATGTACATGCATGTATATGCTCAAGCATGTGGAGGCCTTGTTAATTGAAATTAATTTCTGGTGTTTTTTTTTTTTTTTTTTTTTTTAAATGCAAAACTTTTCTGTACTGACCTATTTATACTTCTTTGTTTCAGCTTCATCTAATGCACTGGAACTCCACACTATACAGCAGCATTGATGAAGCAGTAGGGAAGAAGCACGGCATAGCTATCATTGCTTTATTTGTACAGGTAAGTTTCCTGTGCTGCATGTGTTAGCATGAAATGTCATTTGTGTGAGGAAAATGGGTTCCTTCACATTTTCTTTCATTTTTAATAATTTCTTAAAATAAAATATTGTATAACTCGTGGGATTCTACTCAAAAGATAGTTCTCTGTCCTTTTGTCTGTGCATATGCTAGCTAAATGAGTAAATCTTGCTTAAATGGTATATTTAATGTACATTAGTTAAAGAAGAGTTGATACGTAATCAAACCATCTGACTGTAATTGGGCATCCGTTCACCGTGCCTGTGAGGGGACCTGTCAGGAGGTGGAGGCGCTTCGATATCTCTCTGATATCTTCTCCATTCCAGCCTGAGCCTGCTGTGCAGGAATTGGGGAAATGCACAGAAGAGAGGAGGAAAGAGGAAAAGAAAACCTAATGACCCATTGACCCAAAAGCCAGTAGTAGAATGGCGTCTTTTTAAATACAGGTGCAAGCATATTATTTCACATGGGAGAAATGTGAGATAAGATCACATTATTCAGAGACATCAGACTGGTGTTGTAATGAATCTTCTGCAGACTCTCAGAAGAGCCAGAGACACAGAGACTTGAGGCTTACTGGGGAGAAGATGTGCAAGCTGGGAAGTTAGGCCCATAATCTAATTGCTGTTGAAAATTTTTCAAGGGCTTCACCCTATAAAGACGACTATCAGTTTCTCATCATTCTCATGAGAAGTGGCAAACTTTTTTATTTAAATGGATTGGTAGGAATAAGTTTAGAATTCATGCTTAGATCAAATGTTTTTTCTTTCACAGTGATATTAATTTGTCATTTTTCATTACAAGTTTGTGAATGCCTTTGAGCTTTACCTCTGTTGGAACGTAAAGGTACATTGGTTAGTCTCCAACACTGAGATAGAACTGCTAAAAATGGAAGTTAGGAAGTTTTTATTCTCTCAGTTCTGTATCCTGGAGGGCTGTGTCATAATTGCTTATGTAAGTCACCTTCTAATTCCAGCAGAGGTAACCTTGGAGATGGTTAGAAAGTTATATGTAAGTTCTTAAACAAACGTAAAACTTAAATGATACATTTTCTATTTCTGGACTCCCATTTAATCTGAGTTTTTAATCATTCCAAAGTGCTTTTTCATTTGCCAGGAAGCCCCATCCAATCTGGCCTTGAAAACTTCTAGGGACGGGGCAGCCTGTTCCAGCACCTCACCACTCTCTCTGTAAAGAACTTCCCCCTGACATCCAACCTAAATCTTCCCTCCCTCAACTTAAAACCACTTCCCCTTGCACTGCTGTTATCAACCCTTTCAAAGAGTTGATTCCCCTCCTGTTTGTAGGCTCCCTTTAGGTACTGAAAGGCTGCAATGAGGTCACCCCACAGCCTTTTTTTCTCCAGGCTGAACAAGCCCAGCTCCCTCAGCCTGTCTTCCTAGGGCAGATGCTCCATGCCCCTGATCATCTTTGTGGCTCTCCTCTGGGCCCTCTCCAACAGCTCTCCATCTTTCTTGTACTGGGGGGCTCCAGACATGTTCAAAATGATTTTAATATCTTTTATCAATTTGAAGATTTTAAATAGAAATTCCTTTTTTTTTTTTTTTTTTTTTTTTTTTGAGAAAAGAGAGAATTCTCTTAATTTTCTAGCAATAGAAGTTACATTTTATTGATGTTCAATTATCTCCTTCCAATAACGATTATATCATTTGTAAGGGCAGTCCAGAGAGGTTGTGGATGCCCTCTCCTCGGAAGCATTCAAAGCCAGGCTGGATAGGACCTTGAGTAACCTGGTCTGGAGGGAGGTGTCCCTGCCCAAAGCAGGGGGTTTGGAACTAGGTGATCTTAAAGGTTCCTTCCAACCCAAATTATTCTATGAGTCAGTGCTTCAATGATTCTTTGATTGTACTCCAACAAGTCCCAATAAATGAACAAATTTCATCCAGCTGTTCTGTTCTTACTCATGCCCATTTCATTCCTCACCTCCTATGTGTATGCACTGGCAAAGAAGTCGAGCAGAAAGCTGTTCTGAATGTTTCTGTTTTGCCAGTGTTGTTCTGAATGTAAAAGGTGGGGTCTTTGGATGGTGATGTAGATCAGAAGCAACTGAAATCAGCATACAGAGTGAACAACATTCGTGGAAACTGGTTTATTTTGAAAACCCCATCTTCCACACCTTGAAGACATTCAGTCTTCAAGGACAGTGCTGCAGAGAGCCAGGCTTTTGCCTGCAGAAGCCGGAGGTGCATGGAGGGGGAGGATCTGCCATTCTGCACTCTGGAGGCAGGGAAGAAACATTCCCTTGAGCCTCAGAGCCAGATTAGCAGCACCATGGGAGCAAATTCAAAAAGTATCCATCATGTTTGTTCATTCTGTTCCTTTCTATGTGCTTTTCTGACAAAAAACTGTTAAGGACAAATTGTATTCTTGGCATTTGTCTGTCACAGTGCTGCATGATTTTGAATTTACTTACAGTATATGCTACAAAACAGGCTTACTCAAAACTTACCAGATTTAACTATGGCTTTTGTTCTGTCAGTTTCTGTCTTCATGTTGAAGTTTTTAAAATCCTGTTTAATTTTGGCTGATGCCTGTATAGAGATTTCATTGTTTGGAATTGCTGTGTATCAGTATATTTGATTAACACGAGGTTGGGTAGCTTAACTCAAAACAATTTCAGAACTTAGTGTTCTGATTGATTTCTGTCTTGCCTTATGGGTTCAGAAAACAGCGAAAGACTGAATTTCATCTTTGCTTATTTTATTTCAGATAGGAAAAGAGCATGTAGGCCTAAAGGCTGTAACTGAAATTCTCCAGGACATCCAGTACAAGGTAAGACATCATCTGAAGAGATGCTTCCCTCACAAACAAGATGAAGTAAGTGTGTGAAAAGTGTGTATGAAACACTGAAACTGAAAGAATGTTTTCAAACTCCTTTATAGTAAAACCATGTGTGAAAGCTGTAGTTCAGTGGCCTACATCAGAAGCTCAGTATTTTACAGTGTTTTCATTTAATGTATAGTCTTTGTAGTTAAATGCCTTTTTGTGATGTCCAAAAATTTGATCTGTCTGATTGATAACTGATTTCAAGTATCACATTTCCAGTGATTATCAGTATGGAGTCAGTATGAATGTAAGCATTGTTACAGAATGCTTAGTGAGCACTAATAATAGCATTTGCAAACTTGTGTGGATTTTATTTGTAGAGGAAAAAAATAGATGCATTGAATACCCTTATTAACTTGCAGTGGGAAATCAACAAAGACACAGTGCTGCCTTGTTGTATGGATTATATGTGGGGATACTGAAGAACAGATAAAAAGCATAGCTGTATTTAGAAGCCTTGAGCACTTTCCAGAAAGCTAACACTATTACCTTGGGAAAGTTATTTCCATCCCTCTGTCTGTTATAAAACAGAAATAATCATGTTTGTCTTTGATTTTAAAGTATTTTGTGCTATATTAATGAGCAGTTGTATTTTGGCTTGGAGAGACAAGCCATTCACTTCAGAGGACGGTGAAGTACAGAAAAATGAGAGACTTACTAGAAGAGAGTTTAAGATCTTTTAAGCAAATAATATATGATAAACAGTAGTTATATGTAATATTACAAACTCATTGTTAAGGCAACTGTGGAAACATTAGTCCACAGAACTTTGTAGCTTGATCATTAAAGGCAAAGCTAAGTAGAGTAAGATGGTGAATAGCTTTGTTATTACAAGCATTTTATGCTAGTGACTTTTGGAGTGTCAGCATCAAACATGCTACTGCATACATAAAATTTTATTGCATTAAATTATTGGAATGATAAGTTTAATAAGATATTTGATAAGTGTTTTCTGTCAGTCAAGGAAATGATCATTTTGTCCCTTGTTTTTTAAACTCGTTTTGTATGGAAGTCCTGAATTTCATGTAGAGAAAGTATTTTAAGGCTGGGGCCTGGAGAAGAGCGCAGCTACTAAAGGCAGTAAGTTAGCAAATTTCTGTGATAATCGTAGAAGTAAAATACAGAAAAAAATCGAAAAGAGAAAACCACAACTATTGTGTGGTTGCAAGGACAAACACAGTGATAATTAAATGATGGTAGTGATTTCACAGGAAATGAAGGTTTCATTTTAGAAAACACACAGTATTTTACCTTTCCATTCATCATAGCTAGAGATGAGATTCATTTGTATTCATTTTTTCAGGGAAAGTCCAAAACTATACCCTGTTTTAATCCCAACTCTTTATTACCAGGTAGGTGCCTTTACTTATTTTTCTGTGGGTGGATTACTAGGTAATTGCAAAGGCTGAAACAGTCCTGAACTAAAGAGCAGTCTAACTGCAATGTTGAGAATATCTCCCACCAAATGATAGTACAGTTTTCCACGTAACGGTGCTAATAGCAGCGGGGTAGAATTTCCTGTTAAACTTGGGATAAATTCACACCTTTCTCACTTGAGTGGAATGTGATATTGCAGCCTATACACTGCTGGCAACATTCTTGATGATTTATTATCTCACCTACATGGATAGTGATGTGTAATCTTTTCTCTACTGTTACATGAAATAGGGAGATGATTTATTTAAACAGAGGCCTGCTTTCACTTCAAAATGTAGAAGGTTACCCACTTAACAAGTTAGTGTTTTGGAAGCAGTGACAATGCCATAATGCAATTGCAGTTGTATAGGATACAAAGGGTAGTGTAAGTGGGAGGCAAATTCAAATTCATATAGCCAAGAATAACAATAAGAAACACTCTACCTTGCCTTGAAAAAAAACTTCTTTAAAAAAAAATTCTATGAAGTAAATATTTCTTCAAGGAATGCTTCTGAATTAAATTCCATGCCACAGTAATAAGATATTTAAACAATTTTGTAAAAGAACCCCATTATATATTAACCTATATTAATTTTTATCAAAGGAGTATTATTTAGGTTGCAAGGTCAAGTGCTCAGCATTTAGAAATTGCAGGAACTAAGGCTACCTGTGCCCTTTCATAAACATGTATTATAAAACATGCTTTACCAGAAGTTATTTTCACAGAACCCATGCTTCACAGTTCCTGGTTTGATGCTGATTAAGTCACATAAACCAAAATTTTCATAAGTGATCTCTAACTCTGTATTCCTCATTTTCTAGGTGCCCGACTTGAGATCAAGGGGTCTGATTTACAGAAGTGCTGAGTGCTTATACCTGCAACTGAAGTCAATGGGAGCAGTGCTCTGACTCCATTAAGTGCTATAGAAAGTTAACTACTCTGAGAAATCAGGTTCTAAGCATCTCATATTGAACACTTCAAATGAATAGATGCATTTCAACTTAATCTCTCTGTGCCTCACTTCCCCAGCTTTAAAAATTGGGGGTAATCTGTCCTTCCTCACCTCACTGAGGTTCTGGAAGGATGAACTAATGTATGTGAAGCACTTGGACACTGAAGAAATGAGTGCACTAGAAATACAAAAAAATGAAAAAGAACAATCCTTGTAAAAAGCAGGATTTGAATAGACCTAGGACCGCATATGTTACTAAAAAGCCAAATGTTAGCTGTTGCTTTTAAAGATAGAGTCATCCATCTTTGCAAGTAAATGATGTGTGTGATCATGTAATGAGACAGTGCTACAATGCATGCACATGGTGGGCTGAATTAATTCTTGCAGTTCTTAATTTTTGAGTGCTTGACAGTGCAACTTCTTGCTATGAAATCCTGTAACTGAGAAGGAAAATGAGACCAACAAAACAAAATCCATTCACTGAGGAGCGCAGGTTTCACTAGTAAGATTTAATTTTACTGATAGATAGATATCACACCATCCTGTCTGATATCTATCTAATATCACACTATTCTGTGTGATATTCCTCTTCTCTGGTACCAAATGGCAGTAATAGGTTAGGTCAACCAAACAAGTTTATTTCAATTTCCAGCCTCCCATCCTGTCCTTGTCAAGTTAGTCAGAACCTTCCCTCAGGTCTTCCATGTCATGAGTGTCCAATTCCTCTCCAGGTTTGTTTGTTTTTACCCTCTTTTCAGATCAGGTAATATATTCTATTTCTTCAGCTGGGTTAGGAAGTCATTTGTGAGTGTGGCCTACACTCACAGAGCAGCAAAGAACAGCTCCGTGTGATATGTTTTCATGAGAAACGGAGTGATTTCTTAAGGTTTTTCTTTTTCTATGAAGCTCAACTCACTTTGCCAGAGTTAGGAGACAGTAGTGCATCTTGAAAAATATGGCACCTGAATTATGAATGGAAAAGTTTTGTTTGGATGTAGAATTTAGTCACTGCTAGATCACCATGGCCTTCCTACTTTCAAAATGGGATGTCTTTTCACAGTAAAGTTGTCTGCCTGTCTTGGAGATAAGAAATTTCAATCCAGCTATGAACTTTAAGCTCCATGGAGTAGTAAGCTTGAGGTTCTACTTGACCAGAGTGGCAAGAAGAGCTCTCGTTCCTCCGTTCATTTTTGAAATGTGGAACTAGGCCCAAGTGAGGGCAAGTCTAACAACAATTACTGCAGTAGAGAATGTGGAATCAGGAAATATGGAGAGTTTTTCCCAGCATATTATTTATTTATTCTGTTAGTTTAAGGGATTGGGCTTATGCTATTTGCCATTTCTATAAAGTGGCATTTTGATCTTTAAAATAATAACCTCTGGCCTCAAGTTGCACCAGGGTAAGTTTAGGTTGGATATCAGGAAAAACTTTACAGAAGGGGTGGTTAAGCACTGGAATAGGCTTCCCAGGGAGGTGGTTGAGTCACCATCCCTGGATGTGTTTAAAAACTGTGTGGATGTGGTGCGCAGAGACATGATTCAGCGAGGGTTGTTAGAGTTAGGGTAGTATGGTTAGGTTGCAATTGGATTCGATGCTCTTTTCCAACCTGAGTAATTCTATGACTCTGTGATTCTATAATCAATCTACAAGAGGAAGTTACTGTTATGTAGTAAGTATGTGTTTATGTGTGTTCACTTGAGAAAGTAGTTAACAGTACTTAGCAGGTCATAAATTCACACCTTAGATTTCTGCATACTAACTTCATCATATGAGAAAGCTCATGGCTGTCATAAGCCATCATAATTAAAAGGTACAATCCTCTTCCTTAATGTCATTAAAATTCTTTTAATTTCAGATCCTCTACTTCGTGACTACTGGGTGTATGAGGGCTCCCTAACAATTCCACCCTGCAGCGAAGGTGTCACCTGGATTTTGTTTCGCTATCCTTTGACTGTGTCCCAAGTGCAGGTAACAGTTCTGCTTGAAGTGACCTTGGAATATGGTTATGAGCTAAAGGTTATAGTGTGCAAATATATATATGGGGCATTATGTCTGTTCTCCATGAAGATCCCATTAGATCAGTACATGGCTTTTCAAGTAAAGGTTAACCTTTTGAGTCACTGAAGGCAACGCAAAGGTCAGAGATGAAAAACCTTGTTATCGTTTATCATCTGCATTTAAAATAATTCTGTATTTAAGTCAAAGTGAAAGAAAAGAAAGAAGTCAATTGGCAAAAGAAATTCAATTCTTTGTAATTGTAAGCTTTCAAATACCACTGTTTTTTGATGTTAAAGGAACAAAAATGCACAGGGAGATACTACATCCTGGAGAATAAAAATGTTAATATAGTGCAGGCTAGCTGTATCGAATTGAACTATACATTGCTTACCTTGCTCTTTTTTTTAGTTCTATTTTGTGACAAATGTCAAATGGAAATGACCTATTTAAATTTAATTTTATATGTATTTTAAAGTATATTCTTTATAATATCTAACAGTCAAATGAAAGAAATTGCAAACCTGTCTGCAAATAAGCCCAGTAAAAACAGTGAAAGCTCCTGACAGTTATTCTCCTTCATTCTGTGAATCCCAACCTGAGAAATGTGGATATAACCTAAGTGAAACTATTTAGAATCCTTGAAGTTGAGTACATTAATTTTTACTGCCTGTTCTGGAGAATGTGCAAACGGGAGGAAAAAAAATATAAAAGATGATAAGTTGATGTTATTTCAATTTTAATAATCTAAAATTCTGCTAGTCATCCCAGCACAATGTTTTAACAACTTATCATTTTGAATTAGCATTGATTATTTTCACACAGAAAGTGAATTCTGGTTCTAATCACAGGTGAAAGTGATTGCTCCCAGTAAGCTTATTTCTTTGTTAGCTAGAAGTTAAGCGTATCCTATCAGTCTTGAATCTGGTATTTCTTTGCTTATAAAAGGGTAAGTTTTATGGCTGCTTACTACTGAGTAGATGGAAACATAACTCTGTTGGTGATATTAGATTCAGAATAACTTTAAAGGCAGTTTGTTTTGTAACACAGCAGCTAATTGCCTGGAAATGATATGGACAAATAAGAGGACTTCACTGGAAGTGTGAAAACCATACTCATAAGACTAAGTCGTTGTATAAAATTGGATTTCATGCTAGTTACACATTTTGTTTTCTCTATTCCTTTTTAATCTAGTCAATGGACAAAAGAGGGCACAGTTCAAGGTATTTGTGTATGCTAGGAGATTGTGTGAAGGGTGAATGAGAGAAGAATTAAGCAGAAAAATGCAACTTTAATTAATTGTATGTGCTCATTTACTGCAAGACAAAACGGTGAATATGATGTGAAGGGGATAGATCCCCAGAAGAGAAATATTGTGCCATTGTTATTAAAACCCATTATTTGTTATTGCTTTTTTGCATTAATTATTGAGCACATCTTGAATATTTCTTAAATAGATATCTTCACATAGATACATAGTTTTTAGGGAAAAGATTAGAATTTTGGACCGTACCCAGCTTTATTTGAGGAATAAATGCATTTGTATTGCTGAAGTACACTGATTGGTATAAATTCAGTCCAGAGCTTTGCAGTGGTGAAGAACTTACAAGTCATGGAGGGGCTTGGAGGACTTCACACTGCCACCGACATAGTGTGCAGCTGAGAGGTGGCTCTGGAACAGAGAGAGATTGGATAAGATTCATGCCATGAACTGCAAAATAACAAATCAGGACTGCCGCATCAGAGTATGAATTTCTAGAGTTCATTGCTGTTTCTTTAGTACAAGTGATATTCTTATGCTATGCATCTGCACTTCCATCAGAGAGTAGTTTTTGGTAAGTAGTTTTGTGAGATTTGAATAAAATGTGTGCAGACAACTGGAGAATAATATTTTGCAAATACAGTTCTTGGAGAAGTTTCATTGCTGAACTCTGTTGGAAAGAGATCAAGCCTTGTGTGAAAAGCTGCATCCTGCAGTGTTCTTTTTGCGCATTCTTGCCTTCCTTCTGTGTTTTTTATCATCTTCATTTGTCTTACATTACAATATGCAGCACAGGATTAACTGTGTTGACTACTTTTATAAGACTCCTTGCTCATGCGTATACACTACTGAAATACAATTAAAGAAAATAGAAAAATCTCTCCTATTAGGCCTGAAAAAACAGGCGGAAAATTGAAAAAAAAAAAAAACTTGCTTATGCTTCTCTCCACTGTATATATTTTTTAAATAGGACATAGTGAATTATGTGCTTTGTGTTACACCAAAGCCTAGAACCTTAGATTATCTAAGCCAGGCAGAGTAGGGATTTAACACAGTGATGCAATGATGAGCTGTTGTTCTGCTGTCATTGTCAGAGTTAACTGGTTTTGTATTGAATGGCTAGGTCTTTAGTCCTTTCATCTACTTCATTCGAAGTCAAGTCCTCTTACAGGATGGAAACAGTAGCTAGTATGTGGAAATGGAGTGGGAGTAGTGCAAAATTTGTACAGCCTTTGAAATAAAACAGTCTGTGAAATGCTATTTTATTCTGGAAAGGTGTATTGAAGGAATGTGAAATTTTCAAACAGAAGGGTAAGTAAAACAGAGTAAAACAAAATTCAGGATCTGAATACAGGGGATTGGCAAAAACATTCTTGCAAAACCTACAAAATGTAATCTAACTTTGTTTTTACTCAGCAGAAGTAGGAATGTTAAAATTGTGGAATTACCCTTTCACTTTGACCCCAAGTTTCAGTATGAGCAGGACTATGGTCTACTGGGTGTGAGAAAGCCTTCTGTTTCTGTTGAAGGTGTGTGAATACCCAAGGAAGTTCATCTGTATGTCTCTAAAGTATTTTCTCTTCAGAGTGTACTTTATAGCAGTGAAATATAGGGGGTTGGGATAAGAAGATGAAGAGGGTATAGTGAGTTATTCCATATTACATGAAGCATTATGAGCAAGCCACAAATATTGCCTTTTTGCTTGGAAATTAAATCTGAAAAGTAGCATCAGCACATCTAAGTGTTCTTTTCTGACAGCACCACTTCTTGAGAATGAAGTAGACTACCATGTATGTAAGAAGGCCTCTGTCACTGGGATCTCAACCCTAATATGAAGGGGTCACCAGTCACTATGGTGGGCTTAGAAACAATTATCCATCTAGAGTGAGGCTGCAATTCCTGACTTCTCTGAAGATGTAAGAACAGACATTGGGGTCAGATCAGTCCTACTTTACTGACTGGAGAAATTGGAAGATACTTTGTGAGCAAATAGATTTCACCATAGGAATTGGGGCAGAGCATTCACAGTTGTAGTAGATAACTCACAAATGCTGGCGTTGCCATCTGCTCTTCCCTTCATGTGTCTTTAAAGTCTCTTATTTTTGAAAGATCAAACAAAAGCCAAATTCCTGTAAAATGCACCATCCAAAACAACAATTATTTCAGACTTTTCAGGGTTGATTCAGTTTAGTGATGGTGACAGACACTACCTTTACAAAAGTCATTCAGTGATTTATCAGCACTTGACTCCTGAGGACATTTTCAGTTCGGTAGCCTGCAGTGAGTTTGTTTTCAGTTTGCTTTTAATAAACAATAAAAAAATCTTCCAAAATTGAGATCTGCCTCTAAAAGCACTTTGAAAGAACTTTATAGTTCCTTCTTCTTTTCATTTTACAGTCTAAGCTATCGACTTGTATCTCAGCTGCCAGAAGCAGAACAGTTGATATCTAAGCACAGTTTTTTCAGGAAAAAGCAACAGAGCAAAGCTAGCCTCTAAATCAACTAAATAAGTCTCTGTCACTTCTGCAATAGAGTGGAACAAAACAATGAAGGCAGTTGTCTTCCAAGTTGCGTAAGAAAGTATTCTCTGTGGGCAGTATAAGAACAAAAATGTCATTACCCGCTGTTCAGTACCTAACTTCCTTTAATTCTGGAATCACACTTGCCTTCTCCCTTTAATCCTTCATAGAGTGTTTTTCATGAAGAAATTCATTCTTCATAATGTCTTATATAATAAAAAGATTAAACTTCAGGCTCCATTTTACTTTCTGTGTAAAATTTTCAAGTTCTGTGTCATTTTCAAGTTATAGCTGAGCTAGATAGTGAGGCATAATAGAGACTGTACAGATATGGAGCCTCAGCCTAAAGAAATCAGCCATCAGGTGGGTTTGATGTATCCAGCTTGACAATATGCCAAAGCAAAAACAACCAAAAAAAAAAACCAACCAAGCAACTGTAACTATGCTGTTGAACAGTAAGGTATAATGTTGTTGATAGATGCATTGGTTTTCATTGCCTTTTAGCACGTAGAACTTGATGCTGGTACAAAAGAAGGAGATGGAAGCTCTGAGTCTTCCTACATCAGATTAGAGTGAAAACTCTGAAGAGTCTGTACCCCCAAAATACATTGTTTTGGAAGATCTGAAATGTTTTGTATTGATTTTTGATTTTATTTTAAAAAGTAAGCACTTATATCTGCAGAACTTTTGAAGTAATATCTCATTTTTATTGTAAAAAAGTATTTTTGGTATAAAATGTCAAGACTTTCCCTAAAGCTTAAAGCCTTTTCAATATTCTGCTGCTTTAGCAAATAATTTTGATTTAAATGAAGCAACATTTTGGGTTGCTTCATTATTTTGGGTAATAAATCACTGGAAGAATAAGAAAACAATTTCCAGTTAACTGAGTTATTCCTACACTTCTTAGAAGATGACCAGAATCATTACTGTCATGTCACAATTGTGAGATTGATTTTGTGGGATGTAATCTACAATGAGTGAGAAGGTTAAAGATCCCAAAAGAAATTATGAAAATGCAAAGGGTATGTTTTCCAAACCACATATATGAAAGTTCTTATTTTTCTCTGTTCTGTTAGTGCTGACAACTATTTTTAAAAGTTAGAAATGGTGTCTGAAAACTCCAAGTTTCGGTGGTGCACAAGTGGCAGGGAATGCTGGTTTCGATCATTAGTCTCATAATGCAGAATTACTTTGTCTTCATGTCTGCTTTTTTGCCTTTCAGATAGAGGAATTTCGTAGACTGAGGACCCATGTTAAGGGTGCAGAACTTCTAGAGGGCTGTGATGGAATTCTAGGAGATAACTTCAGACCAACTCAGCCACTTAGCGACAGAGTCATCAGGGCTGCATTTCAGTAGCAGAAGAGGAAAAACAACAAAAGTAAATCTTTATTAATGTAAGTAAAACTTAGGAGAAGAATCAAAATCTTGAAATAATTTTCATAGGGGAAATTTTGCCAAAGGAGAAAACTGAGTTAATTACAGCATAATGTTACGATATGTTGCCACAACTGTAAACTTTAACACTGTACTGTTCTATTTTATCCTATGGTAACAAAGTTGATTTGCCTTTCTGACATGCTAATAATTAGATTCTTTAGTGGCTGGAATAGAGTATATGATTTTATGAATTTAAATCTTTAGTGGACAGTGGTTCAGGCAGTTAGGTCATAGTTACTTCTTCTAGCTTGAAATTTCTATACTGCAGTGGACAACAGTGCATTATGCCTAAAGTTTTGGGATGAATTTCCGTATTTGTGGAAAGCACTAGTTAATTTTTTAATGTTATCATTTAAACAGGGTACTAGTTCTGGAAGAATTCCTTATTTTTTAATTTTTGATTTTTTTTTAATCCCTTCTCCTTTTTTTAGAATGCTGTACCTTCTAAACCAAACAGTGAATCTTTCAAAACCAGTGCGGATGCAATTAATTAATTTCTCTTATGGCTAATTTTTCACATTATTTTATTCATCATAGTTGCTGCTTCTTGTCCTTGGTGGTTTTAGCCTTCATTGGCTCAGAGAACAAGGATGCCTTTGAATTCAGTGCAGAATAGCTAATGCACCTGGGAACCTGAATTATCCACACTTCAGTTAGTAAAACTGCCCATGTGATACTCCCCTGGCTTCTAGCAATTACAACATAAATTCCCTCTGTACTCAACAGTTGCCCCTAAAGCTCATTGCACTTAGGTAATCAATGTTTTACTATAATGAGAACTCTAATAATGAGTTAAATTTAAGAAATTTTGCTATCAAGACATCTAGTTAGCTTGAAAGTAGGGAGTCAGAGACCAGCATTTATGGTTGATTTTGTAATAAATGTGGCTCCATCTTGATACCAATAGCATGAAAGCTTATATAGGAAATGTTCAAGAAAAGTGTGAATTCTTTCACTTTCTTTAATAAGTCCTACTACATTTTATCATATTAAAAACTATATTAAAATACAATAAACTATACTAAAAAAACTACAATACAGTATATAAGCACAAAACTACAATAAGCTATACAAAAAAAATGCATAAGGTACTCACCCTATTTTATTGGTAGAATCAATTATATAATGACATCATTTTTGGTATCTGCCGTATGCTCATAAGAGAACTAATTCACCCAGAGTTTCATCTGGAATCATGCTGCTGAAAAGTTCTTAATATACAGTCACAGAATCACAGACCTGTAGGTATGGAAGGGACCTGCAGAGATCATCAAGTCCAACTCCTTCGCTAAAGCAAGTTTCCTACAGAAGATCACACAGGTCCCAAACAGGACCCATCCATATGGGTCTTGAGTATCTCCGTAGAAGGAGACTCCACAAACTATTTGGGCAACCTGCTGCAATGCTCCATCACTCTGACAATCACTCCTCCCTGTATTAGTGTGGAACTTCCTGTGTTCCAGGTTCTGCTCTCCACCAAGACTCTGCCCGCATCAACTTGACTCCTGCGGTTGAGATGTTTGTAGACAGTTATGAGATCCCCTCTCAGTCTTCTCTTCTCCAGACTGAAGAGTCCCACCTCTCTCAGACTTTCCTTGTACAGGAGATGCTCCTGGCCCCTTTATCATCTTTGTCGCTCTCTGCTGCATTCTTTCTAGGATATAACTGTCTTTTATGAACTGAGAAGCCCAGAACTGGACACAGTATTTCAGATGTGGCCTCACCAGGGCAGAGTAGAGGTCCCTCGACCTGCTAGCTACACTCTTTTTAATACACCCCAAGATACCATTGGCCTTCTTGGCCACAAGGGCACACTATTGGTTCATGGTCAACCTTTTGTTCACCAGGACACCCAGGTCAATCTCCATAGAATTCATCTCCTGCACATCAGCCCCTAACCTGTACTGATGCACAAGGCTGTTCTTTCCCAAGCGCAAGACTACGCTTGATCTTGCTGAACCTCATCAGGTTCCTCTCTGCCTAATTTGCTAGTCTGCCCAGGTCTTGCTGAATGGCAGCATAGCCTTCTGGTATGTCAGTCACTCCTCCCAGCTTTTTATCATTGGCAAACCAGCCCCTGGGAGACACTGCCTACAACTCTGCACCATTGACCACAACTCTATGAGTCTCTCAGCCAGCCAGTCATCAGTTCACCTCACTGTCCGCTTATCTATCTCACACTTTCTTAATGTTCATTACAAGGATGCTGTAGGAGAGAGCATCAAACAACTTGCCTGAGTCAACGCACACAACATCTACTGCTCTCCACTTGTCTACCCCACCAGTGACAACACCAGGTTGGTCGATCATGATGTCTCCATGTTGGCTACTGGTAACCTTCTCTTCCATTTGCTTGGACATCCAGAACAAGTTGTTCCATCAGTTTTCCAGGGGCAGAGGTGAGGCTGACGGGCCTGTAGTTTCTTGTGTCCTCCTTTCTGCCCTTTTTGAAGATTTCAGTGACATTGGCTATCCTCCAGTTTTCAAGCACCTCTCCCATTTGCCAAAACCTTTCAAAGATGATAGTGGTTCAGCAATCTGTCAGCACGCATGGGTGAACGTCATTGGGGTGCATGGATTTGTGTGTGTTGATTTTGGCTAGGTGCTTCTGACCATCTTCTCTTCAACCACAGAGAAGACTTCAGTTCCCAAGCCTTTCTCTCTTACTTCCAGGGTCTGGAATTCTTAAGCAATCTTAATAGTAAAAAGTGAAGCAAAGAAGATGTTCAGTATCTCCACTGTCATAGCATCCCTTGTTACCAGGACACTCACCTCATTCAGTAATGGACTCACATTCTCCCTAGTTCTTCTTTTACTATCAACACACCTAAAAAAGCCTTAGGGTACAGACAGTTATTTGTACAGTAAATTCATGCCCTACCTTGGTCAATGATGGAAGTTCCTGCTTCACTTCAGGCTCTATTGTGGAGTTAAGTCTCCTCAGACTGTGCTCTGGTTCCAGCACCCAGCTTCATATAAAGTTAACAAATGATCAGGCATCAGATAACCCCTTAAAGAGATTAATAATTCAGTACTTCCAAAATCGGATCCATTAATGCTTAGTGGGAAGATTATCTTTCCTCCCGCATGTGACAAATCATTAAATGGTCTGCGACAGTGGCCAACAATTTCACGATCTTCTGATACAGCATAAGCATTCAATATAATATTTAGTATCAGCAAACCAGAAGTTAAGCAAAGAAAGCAAAATACTAGTCCTTTTATTAATACTGTTTTCTCATTCACATATTTGATTTTGGGCATATCCCTAAGCTCAATTCTCAATTAAATGGTTCTCTACAGTCAGAGAATGTCATCACTTTAATCTTGAAATTGATGATTCAGATTCATGCAGGCTTTTGCATTAAAATTATTTCGGAAAATCATAGCAATATTAAAGTACAATTTTTCTCAGAGAATGAATAATGCCCTCAGGCCAGTGCAGGTAATTCAAGTCTGTAACAGTGAAATTACGTGACACGCTGTCTTTGAATTTTAAGCATGAAATAGTTTCCCTTTACAGTGTTGGAACTGAAATGTGAAAAATTTCCCTTTTCCTTTCACGTTTGAAATTTTATTACATTTGTTGATACTTATAAAAGATTGTTTTAAACAACAAGTTTTATCTTGGCTAAGCTTCACAAAATAATCTGAAGTTTTAATTCCCGAATGATGGAATTGTTAATGTGAGGTAGTAGTATTTGCTGTTGGGCTTTGCTAACTATAGGCTTTTGAGCACTGAGAAGGAACTGTGAATCTGGTCATTGTGTACCCAGCATAAATGGCCACTTGGCTCTCTACACCTGATTGAATGGTTGAATCAGAAATTAATTTGGCCAGGGCTTCCTTTTAGTCTTGGGTACATCAGTCGAAAACAGTAGCAAACTAATTAAAGGCTGGCAATACATCCCTGCTATTGATTTTGCCTCCAGGAAGGTGGAAGCTGGAAAAGTGAAGTCTAAAAGGAAATAGTGTGGCCTTTATCACCTCTCTTCCACTAGAAAGAGGGAGAAAATGAAATAATTTTACCTATTTTTTAGTACTTTCCTCATGCTGTTCTCTCCAGGGGGAAGGTGTTGAGGAACAGTAGGTCCCCATGTGGACCTCAGACATTCTCAGAGAAGATACACTCCCTCCTTCCTAGGGATGAGTAATGATCCTTCAGCTGAAGCTTCTAACATGGACTGAATATTCCTATGAAGATCCAGTAGCAAATAGGGAAGTAATAGTTGGCAGTGTGGGATGTTCATGATAATCCAAGAGGGAGTGATTCTCATTTTTGAAGAGGAGATTACCTTTTATTTGAAAGCTGTGGTATGTCTTAGTTATAGCAAAACTAAACATACTGGTGGACTTCTTTTCTGACATGTTACCCCTCTGCCAAGGCTGCTGGAACACCTGTCTGAAGAGATTTCAGTATTTTCTCTTTTATTCCAAATCACTGTGGTGCAGCCTCTTGAAGAATCCTGAGAAACATTTGTTTTCTGTGACCTCCTCACTCCGTCAAGGAGAGGGACAAATGTTTCCGTACAGGTGCTGTATACACAAGAGTACAGAAAGGCTGTGTAAAAGATCTAATTAGTTTTGACTAAATCAGAGTGCAGGCTTTATGCATGCCATGCTCATAAATCTTCAGTCTAGATTGAAAACTTGAAAGAATTGAAAATTTTGTGGCTTATGATCAAATAGCATGTGTTGATATTTGTGCAATTTGTGGTAGCTTGTTGAATTGAAGGCAGAGATGACACAAGCATATATCACAGCATGTAATCTCAGGTAAAGAGGTTTTTTTTTTGTTTGTTTGTTTGTTTAGTGTTCCTTTATCATAAGAGAGACCAGATTTCAAAACAACTGCCTCTAGTTCTGGAGGAAAATTTGGGCTTAAACGGGGGTATTAAGAAGCAGGACACTGCAGGTTGAACTTTATAGCTCCACTACTTTTTTTTTTTAACATGGT